CAGTTTTCATCACACTTCTTAGCGGTATGCTACCCCAGACCTCCAGCAGCATCTCGGTTATCTCCCTTTACGTTTGTTGCCAACTCATGCTGAGCGGTCTGTATGTTCTCCTCTGTATCGCGATTCAGCACATCAGTCTCATGACGGAACATAACAGATTAACGCGATCCGTATTCAAAATGGGACGAAAGAAGGTTGCCAGTCTCTGTGAAAATGCCTCCAACGATACTGATGCCGTAGATGTTCCTCTCACTGAGGTGAGCAGTAAATTGGACAAAATTTGTTTTGTGACGTCACTCAGTCTCAGCCTCGTTCTCACCCTTGTTACATTGATTGATATTACTTCATGAATTTATTCAAATTATATATCACAGTTGATTGACCTATTGTACTACACTTATATCTGCGCAAAATCAAAAGTTCTTCTTTATATGAGTTCGATGATGTGATACTGTGAACCAGTTGTATTTTGTTAAGGTTCTGCTACACCAAACCAGAATCACTTGCTCTCTGAGCTTCAGGCCAGGGAAAGACATGTCACATCTGTGATTGGTTGAAATTGCGTTATATTTCCATGGGTTTTTTTAATGTGCATCCATCAAGTAATCAACACTGACCAAGTAATTTAATATATAGTGATGTTTTTTGAAACACTATGACATATGCTGAATGTGTGTACTTAATGACTACTTTCTTCTTTTTACTGTTTCCCTTGATTTTTTTGTATTTCTCTAGTCTCACAGTTAGTTTTATAATGTTTAGAAAATTGACAAAATGTTGTGTTTCTTTTATCGGAAACTTGTTACAACAGAATGCAAATAAGTCCCTACATGTACGTCTGTACCGCTTCTGGCATCCTCGTCTTTACCATTAGGTCAACGATGCTATATCCTGTCTGTTGACGGATGAAGTTCTAAACAAGCATTATCTTACATTCATGTAAAATACTTAAATTTCATTGGTCAATGACGCTTTAACAAGTTACCAAGTCACCCCTCCCAGGAGGGTGACAACTGGAAAAAAATATTACCCGCTGCCACGGTACCCGCCAAAGACTCCGCCGAGAAGCTGTATCGCTAACAATCATATGACGTCATAATGTGACGCATGCAATGCCCGGAGTTCGAAAGCCGTTCGATTAGTTTTTTTTAATTTAATACGTACAGATATATTTTACCGACTTTCACTGCTATATTTAAACTGTTTTAGACATTGAATCGTTTGCATACTCAACTTAAACATAAAAAAACCCATTTTTATTGCAGTTTTAAGCTTGTCGGAATATGTTTCACTGATTTTAAAATTCCAGTCGAGAGGCAGACGCCATTTTGTTTACAAGTCATATAGTAGGGGGATCTTCAAATTAAAATAAAATTATATTTTGGCGGTATTTTGGCGATATTTAACATGGCGGTAAGATAAACACCCCTCGCCTACCAGCTCGGGTAACACTGCTACAAAGAGGCGTACATCAAACCGTATTACCCTCGAGAGAAGCATACAACTTATAATATTCTCTTTTTACTTAGCAACCAGTCAAGCTTGGAATCCTTATCCTTAATGTACATAGGTCAATATCTGTATGTCATCTATGCCAATTGTCTATGTGCTACTTCATGTCCTGTCTGCCTGATATATTGCCTGAACATGTTGTTACTATTAATCTGCTGCTTAACGCAACATACTATGTAAACAGACCTCTCATCGCTTGATTGTAGTCACTCCACTTTGATAACTGTGCAGAATCTACATGGAAACGTTGCTGCAATAAACTATATAGTGGTATCCATATAGTTGTATGTTTTCTTATCTACTAATATGGGCACACGGGTGGCGCGATATTCAAAGGCACCAGTATTCGCTTTGCACAGTTGTGTCCCTTTAGAAGGTCAGTAACCTGTGATTGTAGGTGCCCGGTTTCCCAGATTTATGTTTCGAGGTTTGCCAGAGCCATACACGTGCTCGTGAGTTTCACCGAATTGGTAGGATATTCCTTCGGACTTCCCTCCCACAGAATGTTTGTTCTGACATGACGTGATTTAACTTAAGCCCATCTCACTCTTTCGCAACTTTTTACAATAAGCATATTGAAAACAATCAATAAAGTCCTTCTAAATCACACAAAGTAATAATAATTATTTCCACATGTACTGTGTGTTCTGTTTTGTCTATAAATACATTCTTAAATCCTAAAGACAATATAATGAGCTTCTGCAATCATCAAATGCAAGCATCTTAAAACATTTATCAGCATATATATAGATCACTGAGACGTCTTCATGATAACGTACTTTCTCACTCTATAATTCTCAATGTGTAACCTGGGCCTATGGCTTATATTACTTTTCTGAAATAAACCACCATTTCGTGTGCTTGTGCTTGGAATAGCTTGGGAACAGAGAGCAAGTAAAGCTGTCGCAGAACTGGTGTTATATGCTGCGTCTTTGGGCACTTTGTGATTATCCTGGCAGCTGTATTCTGGATCATCTAAATGCGTTGAAGCTGTGAAGATGTGATGCCGTACAGGTGGGAGTTAGCATAATCGATGTGGGAGATGACAAGGGCTTGAACAAGCATTTTAATGAAACGCCGTTATCTGCCAATTTGATGGAGCTGATGATGGGACGTCTGACATACATGGGTGATTTGGCATCTCATGTCCATGGCAGAATCAAGGTTGAATCCAAGAGTCTTCACTATGGCAAATAGAGTTACTTCCACATGTCCAATCTTCACTGAAAGGCCTGGTAGTGAAGTCTGCAAATGCTTGTTTCAGTACTATACTGTTTCCTATGTGTTGACTGAAATTCCTCCATAAGGCTGTTGCTCTCAAGATGGTTTCTAATTCGACATGTGACTGTCTTCTCCAGGACCTTTGACTAAAACGGGTTTGACAAAAAAAAAGTTTGAAACGGGTCTGTAGTTGCAAGTAATCTCAGGTTCCGAACAGGGCTTCTTAATGAGTGGTCGGGTTTGTGCTGTTTTAAACTCATTTGGTACCTGATGCGTGTGGAGCGAAGTATTGAAAAGAGTTACAAGCACAGGCAATAACTGTTCTAGAAATGTCTTGAGAATCCAAGAGGGCAAAAGGTCTAAATCACAGGACTTTGATGGACTCTTGGTAATAAATTGTCGGACCTCAGTCTCCGATGTTGGAGTGAAGTTTCAAGAGGAATACCAGCGAAATGTCTGCAGTAGTTAACAGTTACAGTTTTTTGTGACTCCTTCATTCAGCTCTGATGTTCTCACATTTCGCCGAGAAGAAATCTGAGAAACGTGTAGCTAGGCTGACATTATCAGTATGTGTATGGAAAATAACACATTCTTCCTTCTGAGGAGGCTGTTCACGTCTTTGAATAGTCCTTTAGCATCGTTGCTGCGTTCTTTAATACGTTCTTGGATGTGAGATATTCTCGCATTTACCAGCAAAACGTTGTGTCTGTCTCTTGCAGAGTTGCACCTGGCGATCTACCTCCAGCTTTGACTTGTGTCACCTTTCTCAGCTTTCCTTTTGGTTTCCTTTGGGAGACGTATTTCGTCAGTGTACCAGTTTGTACCAGGGCGGATGTTGATGACTCTTTTTAAAACAGGCGCATGTTTGTTGATCACATCAGAAAGGGTTGAGTTCAGAATATGAACCTGGTTATTGACGTTCACTGTGGCCTTGATTTTTCATCCAAATCATGTTCTTTGGGGTCCTTTTCAAAAACTCCGAAATTGATTTGTTTAGTTTTCCAATACTGGATAGGTTTCTGTGCAAGTGATGCTCTCTAAAGATTTAGCACAATGGTCTAAGATCATATTTTTTTCAACTGTCAAGGATTTTACAACTGATTCACTGACTCGTAAAATTACGAGATCAAGTGTATGTCCGCTTCTGTGAGTAGTTTCATGAACATGTTATTGCAAGTTAAGATTATCCAAAAGTTCACAAAACGATTTGGCTTCAGACGACTGTGTAGTATCAATATAGATATTGAAGTCACCAAGAAGTAAAAGGTCATGTGCAAAAGAAAGCATATTTTCAGCTAGTTGTGAAAATTCATTTTGAAAGATTGTGAAAGTTGCAGGTGTTCGAGGGTCAGGGTTTCAAGCCACTAGTTATAGTGTAAGTGATTGTTTTTCCATGGAACTGTATTTTGTCAAGTTATGAACACGAACGTTATGCATTCTGTTATGGCCAATGGCATCACCTCCGCCATTCCGGTAAGGTCTGTTGACATTTACAATGCCATAGTTAGATGGTACCATGTCTTTTATAACACTGTTATCCTTGTCAGGAGGTGGATAGTATTTAGGTCATGTAACATTTATGTATAATGTTGGAGAAAAACCCGCAGTAATGTTAGGTCAGAGATGTTTCCCACTAAGTCCACATACGATGCGACCGCCTCCTCGGTGTAGTGGTTAGAGCGTCCGCCCGGAGAGCGGAAGGTCGCGGGTTTGATCCCCGACCGCCTCATACCAAAAGACGTTAAAATATGGTACTTGTTGGTCCCTGCCTGGCGCTCGGCATTAATGGGTACAACAAGGACTGGTCGGCTCGGAGTCAGTATAATGTGTCTGAGTGGGGTATTCATGCTTCACTGAGACATGGTATCGCAGTGGGCTTGCACTATAAAACCAGCTTAAGTCTGGGCTAGTACAAGCAGCCGCACATACACATACACACGCATGCACGTCGTCATATGAGCGAAATATTCTCAAGCACGACGTTAAACACAATTTCACCTCACCTCACCACATACGATGCAGACAAACCATGTATTTTCATTTTCACTGCCAGGATTTCCAATACATCTCCTTTCTGAAAACGAATTATTGCATCACACTGTGGCTGTTTGTGAAAGCAATGATTATTTTTGATCGATTGATAAAGGGAAATGCTTCAGTTTAATCTTTTAATGTACAATGCTTACGGCATCTAGCAAAATACACCATACAGAAGACAGTTGTATTGATCTTATGGATGAAAAACAAAGCTTTGCCGGCAGATGTCATCATCTTTCCATATTTGATGATTTGCAATCAACGCTCAGATTCCTCTCCTTTATGGAATCCATCAAGGCTGTCGATAATGCATATGCAAATTAAAGTTAAGCCTGAACTGAATAAGTAAATATTGAATATATCGTATTGCTTGTATACCACTTTACGCCATTACGAGAAACATGCAGTAAAGAGTAATGCCAACAATATGTTGTCCAATGGACTATTTAACACATTAGTAACATGTATTGTGCAGACCAGTTCTTAATGCAGGGATACAAGAACATCTTAAAAGTATGGGAATATTACGACCTTGTGATTTGGGGTCAACTTCGATGCCCAATATTGCCATTCATGAACCTCGATCTTGTTTTTAAGATATTGACGGTTATGAAAAACATGATTGTTATCAAAGGAAGAAGATGGTTTGGTCTTAGGCAGAAGAAGTCCAACTTTCCAACTCTCGGTAGCAGGACCGAATATGTTGGAGCTTCATGGTAGTTACAGATGCTTTACAGACGTGAAACAAGTGATCGCTGTTTCTAAAACAAACTCATAAACATTATTGCATTATTGCTTCCAAGCTGGTGTGTCAGCAACTTTGACTTAATGAAGCCGTAATTATAATTGCTGATTTGGACTGAAGGTTCAAGAGTTTGGTAACGTCATCAGTGACGTTCTAGGTGGTTCTGAGTGCGTGACAACATATACGACAGAGACGTCATTCCTAATTCCATAATTAACTCATGGATTGGAACGAACACCGGAAAAGGAGGATCCATTCCTTCTTCTTGAAGACACTCACTCAAACCAAGATGACTGATAATGTTAATTTGCAAGACCAGGAACAGAAGTGGAAACCTACAACTATAAAGGAACTATCATGATTTCTGGGTATGGTTCGATTTTACAGAAAATGTGTCAGAATTTCTTATATGTGGTATGAAGCTTTCCATTTTCAAATTGAATTGTACTAATTTGTTTCCAATAACACAAAGCAATACCAGATGCGCTGGTGCATGTCTTTGCAGGAATTTGATTTATACATTAAACATATTAAAGGCAACTTCTTTATTTTAACAACAGCTACGTTTCGGTATAGGTTCTTATACCGTTTTCAAGCATATGGGGAAATGATGATGATGATGATTTAGGGTTTTACGTCGGCTTTGGCTGTAGCCAATGTCGCATATGGGGTAATGAAGGTGTACACCAGTTTATATACAAGATAAGATAATGTGATAACAATAACAAAGGTGGGGAAAACAAAGCATCAAAGAAAGTTACATGATGAGCTACAATGACATGATGAGCTGAAGATAACAAAATGAGATGAATGGGATTACCATGACAATTAGTGAATGTAAGTTAATTAGGCAGAAGCAAGGGTGGTGGGGGATTAATTAGTGAGAAACCAGTGGTGAGGAATGTGATTATGAAGGTTGATGAGAAGCCAGAGTGGGTTGAGTGGATAATTAGGTGGCTGTAAGCTGATGGGATGTAATAGCCTTGATCTCTATTAATAGAGGGATTAAAACGGCGTATTTGTAATGCTTCGGCCAATTATCGCTGAGTGTAATCATGTTTGTTGTTTGTAAGTGTTTTGACAGTGTCCCAGTTGATGTTGTATTGAGGAAATTTGGTGATGTGTTCCGAAATGGCTGATTTGGTGTCTGCTTTGTTTGTGGATGTCTTATGTTCTTTGGTGAAACATCCAGACCACTCAATATACGCATCAATGTAGTGACTGCCACAGTCGCAGCTGATGTTGTAGACCACACCTTTAGGCTGTTTTTGTTTTGTAGTGTGTTTCCTACCGTTTGCCTTAATGATAGTTTGGAGAGGTGTGGCCGTGGAGAAGTATGTGTCTATGTCTGCTTGCTGTCTAAGTAAGCGACTGATGTGATGTGAAGTTTTGCCGTTGTAGGGTAGTGAGATGCGAATGGGAGCGGAGTCGGGCTTGCTAGTGGTGGGTTTGGGTGCTGGGTTGAGGGTGGAGTTAATGACACGGTCAACAAGTTTAGTGGGATAGTTGTTAAGTTGGGTGAAGACATGCCGGAGGTGTTTAAGTTCAGGTTGAGGGGTGACAGAGGGTAGGTTGAGTGCTCGGCGGGTAAGAGTGGAGATAATGCCGGTTTTAGTTCTGACAGAGTGGTTAGAGTCAAAGTGGATGTACTGGTCAGTGTGCGTGGGTTTGCGGTAGACAGAGGTTTGGATAGTGTTGTCAGTGGTGCGAGTGACTAGGACATCCAGGAAGGGAAGTTGTGAGTTGGTTTCAGTTTCAATGGTGAATTGGATACGAGGGTGCTGTTGGTTAAGGTGCTGGAGGAGGGCAGTGGGGTCGTTATTTTTAGGGAGGATAACAAAGGTGTCATCAACCTTCCTGAACCAGCAGGTTGGTTTGATTAGTGAACTGCTGAGAGCATGCTGTTCAAAGGAGGTCATGTAGATTTCAGAGAGGATGGGGGAGAGAGGGGAGCCCATGGGTAAACCATGGCTTTGCTCATAGAGGTCATCACCCCAGGTAAAGTAGGTGGAGGTGATGGAGTTAGAAATGAGCTGAATGATGGAGTCAGTGGAGAGGTTAGTGTCAAGAGGGGTCTCTAGGTGGTCAATGCGGTGGCAGGGGATGTGCAGGGTTTCATCATTTTATTTTCTCTGACTTAAATACTTTTCTGTGAGTAAACAATGCATTAACACATCCTAGTAATGAGACCTTTTGAAAAATCTTTGACAACTGAACCAGCTCGTACGCGTTCTTTGCTTCCCTTCACCTCCTGATCTGCCACGCTGTTATTCAAGGTATATTGAACATGATGGTTAAAACCTGTTATAGAATCTGTAAAGAAACCATATTCCTTCATTAACATATTTCTGGAACGCATGATTCATGGTGTGAAAGCATGAATATTACATTGTAGGTTTGCTTTACACATGGACATGATTAGATAAGGTTATCTGTTCAGGTAAGTGAGTTTGTGTGAGGCTAGTTAATGGACTTTTGTGGACATTCTGCCTCACTTGATGTTTGTCTGACACTCCATGACCCAATGTTGATTGGTGTGTTCAGTGTGTCTCCGTGACTTACAGTACAATGCCATCCATTATTGTCAGAATGGGAAACTGGTACTTGTAAGGGGCTTTATGATCACATCATTGATTCTATGACATGCTGCATCACTTCATCGTTACAGTGACAGACTGAAGTCAGAAGGGAGTTTTCAGTGATAGTTACAGGATAGGAGAGACATTCGTATTTTCTCAACACATTCAAATCACCCAAGGATATGTATATTCCTCATACTGTCCTACTACTGGCATTATTGACACAGTCTGTGACGTCGGATATCTATGAAGACGCCCAAAGTTTACATATCTCTCTTCTAGAAAAGTACAACCCACTGATCCTCCCCATCCGAAATCTCTCACAACCTGTGAATGTTGGAGTTAAATTAAACGTGGACAGGGTCAAGTTGGTGGATGTCGTCCAGGAGCTTCTAACCATAGGTTTGTGGATATCATTCGAATGGAATGATGCAATTATACAATGGAATCCTGCCCAATATGGGAACATTACGTCCTTGAGATTTGAAAGGAAGACGATTTGGACTCCAAATATTGTCATTCAGGAAACTCTTGATCATGTTTCGTATCTTGGTTCTAACGAAGAGCATGTTGTGATAACACACCAGGGACGAGCAGCTATCTACCTTGCGACACTTGCACGAATACCTTGCAAAATGCGAGTTACTGCGTTTCCCTTTGACCAACACGAATGCAAACTGATATTTGCCTCTGATACCTACACAATGGATGAATTGTATATGTATTCTTTTAAAAAGACAACTTTTTTGTTCGACCTTACAATGGCGAATGGGATATCATATCTAGTGATTTGCACAACGAACCTGAAGAGGCAGGTGAACCACACTCTAAAAGTTTGTCCATTTCACTGAGGAGACGACCTCTCTATTATGTGGTGACTCTTCTTCTGCCCATACTGGTCATTTCCACAATCAACCCCTTTGTGTTCCTGGTCAAGTCGGAAACGGGAGAGAAACTGTCCTTCTCGGTCACCATCTTCCTCTCTTTCACAGTTTTCATCACGCTTCTTAGTGGTATGCTACCCCAGACCTCCAACAGCATCTCGGTTATCTCCCTTTACGTTTGTTGCCAACTCAACCTGAGCGGTCTGTATGTTCTCCTCTGTATCGCGATTCAGCACATCAGTCTCATGACGGAACATAACAGATTAACGCGATCCGTGATCAATATTGGTTGTGAAAAACATCTGAATCAACATGACAGCGATGGCAACGTCTCCAACGTTGCCGATGCCACAGATGCCCCTCTCAGTGTGGTGAGCAGTAAATTGGATAAAATCTGTTTTGTGATGTCTTTGAGCTTGAGCCTCATTATCACCATTGTTACAATGTTTTACATTTCATGTTTTGGTTGAAAACAATTCATATTAGCTTGACTTATTTATGGGATAATTTCCACACTACAATCTCTCCTTCAACGGTTTCATATGACTCTATCATTTTCCAACACAGGAAGTGGAACATCTCATGTATTAACTATGTTTATCGAGTGTGGTTTTCTTTTAGTCAGTTTGTTACAATAACGTTTTGTTCATTTCCCAATCGGACCAGTAGAGACTTGGAAATGATAACATCTTATTTTCTTGTTATATGCACAATGCTTGGTTCTTGTCTAACAATTCTCACCAGTGGTTGTTCTTGCTGCGAGCTCGTGTGTGCCCCAAGCACACTGTTATTGATGTTAGTTTTCAAAATATCTGTAATATCATTTCAACAAAAGTACTGGTTAATTCTATTGTTTCCAACTTATCATTGTCAAGCACACTGATATCACTGTTTGTTTACATAATATCAGTAATATCATTTTAACAAATCCTCACTGAAGTACACAAGTTAATTCTATTGTTTCTCAACTTATCATTGTCAAGCAGACTGATATTACTGTTAGTTTTCAAAATATCTGTAATATCATTTTAACAATACACAAGTTAATTCTATTGTTTCCAACTTATCGTTGTCAATACGTATACCGTGGATGATCGACAACGCTCTTGACGTTCAAAAGAACGCTCTTAACGTTCAAAAGAACGCTCTTAACGTCCAAAAACTCCATCAAAGGACAGGTCAGTCAGATCGATGACATTAAGAAAGTGTATGTATTGTAAAGGTACGGGACCGGTTGCATCCAGCAACTCGTGTACGAGTACATACCCATGCGTCTGCAGAGATGGCATTTGCACGCACAACGTCCACGTTAAATACACGTCATTTGAATGAGGGTCGTCAGTGATGACGGGAACGTCTAGATGAAATTCGATAAGTTGGAATTATGTCATGTTCCCTGACGAATGGACGATCCCTCTTAACTTATATGACCGAAGATCTGTCCATATATATTATATGTACTCAGTACAATTTTGACATGATTAAAATGTGAGTCTTGCAGATGAATGGCCGAGGGCTGGATGTCCTTGACCCCACTGAAACGCTGATCGCCGGTTCTAACGATGCATGAATTTACACTGACATACCCTGACAATACTGGTGTGGTTTGATGCGCAACCCGTTTCACCCACCGCATTTACTCTCGTTGATTTCGTAAAACAATAATATTAAGTGTACAATGTCAAAAAGCCTGTCGAATCCTGAATTAAGTTACATTTGTGACGTCATTCCACTGTCTGCTCGCTCCATTCTTTTTAAGAATTGAGCGATGTGTACCAGTTTCAAATTTGGAACTTCATTTTAGTTTTGATAACAGAAATATTACCAATACTTTGAATGTAATTTATGTAGGGTATTATATCCTCGTAACTCTCCATTTCTTAAAAATAATGGAGCCGAGGCCCCGGAGGAGCGTTACTCGGACATTACCCTCTACGTAAACGTTAAAATATATGTATGTCCATTCATATGATTGCATACACAGACTAAGTAGTGTTTTTTGTGATATGGTCTTGTAAAAGCACCACGTAGATAAGGGGAAAGTGTGTTTGAATTTTTATAAAAGTCAGATATTACAGACTCGCACTGTTGTCGTAACTGGGATTTGGGTGTCAGTAAACCCTATAACCAGTTACCTATTAAGATGGCCGTTGTCAGGGATGACGTAAGCTCAAGTTACACACTCGCTTGGTCCATGGGGATGTTAAGTCTAGGAGTGAGAGGTCAGACGACTGTAACTCCTCAGTAAACACATTTCATTCATGTGCTGGCACTCTGGCATACAATGAATAACTCAACACCAGGTTTTATACTCACATAGATTTACTCGATCCCTCTCCTCATTACCAGGTGCGTGATCTGGACAGGATGGGGCAAGCTCTTCACCAGATATGGATATTGATCGCGATGCGAACGTTCTGCTGACTTTGTAACCCGCACCTTGTATAACAGATGCCTTGTTTAACCTTATAACACTGTTTACACATCGAATCCACCGGAACAGTCTCTGTTGACATTACTCTTTGGTGTTCTGTTCTCTCCATCAAATACATCTGCTCATTAAGTCCACTCGAAAAGAGCTATATTTACTTGTTTAATATTTGGTTAATTTGCAGACATGCATAAGAATTATCGATTGTTATTGATTTCATAATGGATGATGAAGTGATGCAGATGTCAAGGCATCACAGTCGAAAACATGGATTCGACGTATAACACAAAGGTTAGAGAGCCAAGTATATAGTTGTGACATTTCCGTCCATTAGTTCAAGAAGACTTTATTTATCATTATGTCTGAAGCGTGTTCACAATATGATATCAGTTGACTAACGTTTACCATTAATGATGAAGACATTTGTATGGTTTTTTTCAAACAAAACAGTATGCAATAATGTGTCTTCTGAAGAGAAGTGTATCAGTAACTTCATTGTGTCCGATTGCCACATGAAGTCAAACTTTCAGTTACCAACTTGTACTGATTGTTTCCCACTTACTGTCAGTATTTCACAAATAGGAACTTCGTGCTGTTTGTTTCCCACATACTGTCAGTATTTCACAAATAGGAACTTCATGCTGTTTGTTTCCCACATACAGTCAGTATTTCACAAATAGGAACTTCATGCTGTTTGTTTGCCACATACTGTCAGTATTGCACAAATAGGAACTTCATGTCGTTTGTTTGCCACATACTGTCAGTATTTCACAAATAGGAACTTCATGCTGTTTGTTTCCCACATACTGTCAGTATTGCACAAATAGGAACTTCATGCTGTTTGTTTCCCACATACTGTCAGTATTGCACAAATAGGAACTTCATGTCGTTTGTTTCCCACATACAGTCAGTATTTCACAAATAGGAACTTCATGTCGTTTGTTTCCCACATACAGTCAGTATTTCACAAATAGGAACTTCATGCTGTTTGTTTCCCACATACTGTCAGTATTTCACAAATAGGAACTTCATGCTGTTTGTTTCCCACATACTGTCAGTATTTCACAAATAGGAACTTCATGCTGTTTGTTTCCCACATACTGTCAGTATTGCACAAATAGGAACTCATGTCGTTTGTTTGCCACAAATATTGCACAAATAGGAACTTCATGCTGTTTGTTTCCCACATACAGTCAGTATTTCACAAATAGGAACTTCATGTCGTTTGTTTGCCACATACTGTCAGTATTGCACAAATAGGAACTTCATGTCGTTTGTTTGCCACATACAGTCAGTATTTCACAAATAGGAACTTCATGCTGTTTGTTTGCCATGTCAGTATTGTTTGTTTGCCACATACTGTCAGTATTGCACAAATAGGAACTTCATGTCGTTTGTTTCCCACATACTGTCAGTATTGGAACAAATAGGAACTTCATGTCGTTTGTTTGCCACATACTGTCAGTATTGCACAAATAGGAACTTCATGCGTTTGTTTGCCACATACTGTATTGTTTCATGTCGTTTGTTTGCCACATACTGTCAGTATTGCACAGTATTCATGTCGTTTGTTTTTGCCACATACTGTCAGTATTGCACAAATAGGAACTTCATGCTGTTTGTTTCCCACATACTGTCAGTATTTCACAAATAGGAACTTCATGTCGTTTGTTTGCCACATACTGTCAGTATTGCACAAATAGGAACTTCATGTCGTTTGTTTGCCACATACTGTCAATATTTCACAAATAGGAACTTCATGTCGTTTGTTTGCCACATACTGTCAGTATTTCACAAATAGGAACTTCATGTCGTTTGTTTCCCACATACAGTCAGTATTTCACAAATAGGAACTTCATGCTGTTTGTTTCCCACATACTTTCAGTATTTCACAAATAGGAACTTCATGTCGTTTGTTTCCCACATACTGTCAGTATTTCACAAATAGGAACTTCATGCTGTTTGTTTCCCACATACTGTCAGTATTGCACAAATAGGAATTTCATGCTGTTTGTTTCCCACATACTGTCAGTATTTCACAAATAGGAACTTCATGCTGTTTGTTTCCCACATACAGTCAGTATTTCACAAATAGGAACTTCATGCTGTTTGTTTCCCACATACAGTCAGTATTTCACAAATAGGAACTTCATGCTGTTTGTTTCCCACATACTGTCAGTATTTCACAAATAGGAACTTCATGCTGTTTGTTTCCCACATACTGTCAGTATTTCACAAATAGGAACTTCATGTCGTTTGTTTGCCACATACTGTCAGTATTTCACAAATAGGAACTTCATGTCGTTTGTTTGCCACATACAGTCAGTATTTCACAAATAGGAACTTCATGTCGTTTGTTTGCCAACATACTGTCAGTATTTCACAAATAGGAACTTCATGTCGTTTGTTTGCCACATACAGTCAGTATTTCACAAATAGGAACTTCATGTTCATGTCGTTTGTTTGCCACATACTGTCAGTATTTCACAAATAGGAACTTCATGTCGTTTGTTTGCCACATACTGTCAGTATTGCACAAATAGGAACTTCATGTCGTTTGTTTGCCACATACTGTCAGTATTGCACAAATAGGAACTTCATGTCGTTTGTTTGCCACATACTGTCAGTATTTCACAAATAGGAACTTCATGTCGTTTGTTTGCCACATACTGTCAGTATTGCACAAATAGGAACTTCATGTCGTTTGTTTCCCACATACTGTCAATATTTCACAAATAGGAAGTTCATGTCGTTTGTTTGCCACATACTGTCAGTATTGCACAAATAGGAACTTCATGCTGTTTGTTTCCCACATACAGTCAGTATTGCACAAATAGGAACTTCATGCTGTTTGTTTCCCACATACTTTCAATATTTCACAAATAGGAACTTCATGCTGTTTGTTTCCCACATACTGTCAGTATTGCACAAATAGGAACTTCATGCTGTTTGTTTCCCACATACTGTCAGTATTTCACAAATAGGAACTTCATGCTGTTTGTTTCCCACATACTGTCAGTATTGCACAAATAGGAACTTCATGTCGTTTGTTTCCCACATACTGTCAGTATTGCACAAATAGGAACTTCATGCTGTTTGTTTGCCACATACTGTCAGTATTTCACAAATAGGAACTTCATGCTGTTTGTTTCCCACATACAGTCAGTATTTCACAAATAGGAACTTCATGCAGTTTGTTTCCCACATACTGTCAGTATTTCACAAAATAGGAACTTTATGCTCGTTTGTTTGCCACATACTGTCAGTATTTCACAAATAGGAACTTCATGTCGTTTGTTTGCCACATACTGTCAGTATTGCACAAATAGGAACTTCATGTCGTTTGTTTGCCACATACTGTCAGTATTTCACAAATAGGAACTTCATGTCGTTTGTTTCCCACATACTGTCAGTATTTCACAAATAGGAACTTCATGTCGTTTGTTTTTCCCCACATACTGTCAGTATTTCACAAATAGGAACTTCATGTCGTTTGTTTTCCACATACTGTCAGTATTGCACAAATAGGAAGTTCATGTCGTTTGTTTGCCACATACTGTCAGTATTGCACAAATAGGAACTTCATGTCGTTTGTTTGCCACATACTGTCAGTATTGCACAAATAGGAACTTCATGTCGTTTGTTTGCCACATACTGTCAGTATTGCACAAATAGGAACTTCATGCTGTTTGTTTGCCACATACTGTCAGTATTGCACAAATAGGAACTTCATGTCGTTTGTTTGCCACATACTGTCAGTATTGCACAAATAGGAAGTTCATGTCGTTTGTTTGCCACATACTGTCAGTATTTCACAAATAGGAACTTCATGTCGTTTGTTTCCACATACTGTCAGTATTTCACAAATAGGAACTTCATGCTGTTTGTTTCCCACATACTGTCAGTATTGCACAAATAGGAACTTCATGCTGTTTGTTTCCCACATACTGTCAGTATTGCACAAATAGGAACTTCATGTCGTTTGTTTGCCACATACTGTCAGTATTTCACAAATAGGAACTTCATGTCGTTTGTTTCCCACATACTGTCAGTATTTCACAAATAGGAACTTCATGTCGTTTGTTTCCCACATACTGTCAGTATTTCACAAATAGGAACTTCATGTCGTTTGTTTCCCACATACTGTCAATATTTCACAAATAGGAACTTCATAGCGTTTGTTTGCCACTTACTTACTGTCAGTATTTCACAATTAGCAACTTCATAGCATTTGATTGCCAAATGCAGTCAGACTTTCAATTAGCAACTTCATAGCGCTTGTTTGCCATATATAGTCAGTATTTCAGCTAGCAACTTCATAGCGACTGTTTGACACAGCTAACAGCTTCGTGGAAGCAACCCGACAAAGTTTCATGAAGTCATTGTTCCATAGTTTCAGTTTTCACAGAATCACAGCTTCTACATCTAACGACATGACAGCACACGGTCGGGCGTCTCAATGTAATCGTGTGAGCCTGGAGTTATGTCCCTTTGACTGTCCAGCACAAGAGGCAGTTCCTTAGCCTTCATCAGCTTGATCATGAATACTATGGCCAGAGCTGTTGCTTTTAAATGATCACCACCTGAAACAATATCAATTCAATTTTTGTAACAACACATCTATTTTTACAAGCTGTTATATGTTACAATAGTAGAGTAATCTTGCAATGTTCATGTCAAACCGCTTACGCATATTTCAATTTTTGTCTTGAAGTATATTCATCAGTGCCATACCTCAGTACGTGTATTACTTGGTTCAGGCGTTATCTTGTCAATGACAGATCTGTAATTGGTTACTGTGTTTATCGTTAAAACATCTTAAAAGCCAATTTTTAGCATGTTCTTGAACTATCAGCGCGGTGTTGGGGCGGTGGGGTAGTCTAGTGGTTAAAGTGGTCGCTCGTCACGCTGAAGACCCGGGTTCGATTCCCCACATGGGTACAATGTGTGAAGCACATTTCTGGTGTCCCCCGCCGTGATGTTGCTGAATTATTGCTGAAAGTAGCGTTAAACTAAATTCACTCACCCACTGCAGTGTTGAGAATATAGGCCTGTAGATATTCCATATCGGTTCCCCTTCTCTTGACAGAAGCTCATAGTGTACAGATAACATTACCAGATGACATCATCACATGTCACTTGATTGACGTACGTTCGTCATGGAGCACGAGGCGTTGGCAATGTCGCTATAGGGTACGATATTTGTTGGGTTTAGGCAGCACGTACACAAGGTTTGTGAAGTGTCAGTCACAATCAAAACTCAGTTCAAAATATTTGCATGTTTTAATGATCTCCAAACACCGGTGTACTTTCTTTTGTACGTCAGTATATAAATTCAGAAATGACCCGTCACATCATCGGTACTTCAGGGTTTTGTATACACACTAATCCTCCAATACATGAAGGAATGGACATAATATAAAGTTTATACATAACCAAGAAGTATTGACGATGCCCACTATATCACTTCAAACGTTACCTGGCTTTTCTTCTACAGGATGCCCTTGTCTTTCTCCCCGATTATCCAGCGTCTCTGAGGCAGCCAGGCGGTTAGCAAACAATATAGCAAGAGTGACAGCCTTGAAATGACAAGAACCTGAAACAACAGGGGAACAAGTGTATGCCAGCGCGTTGGCGTGTTGTGCATCTGTTGAAGCTTGAAAGGGTAGCGTGACCCAGGGCTCTGTTCAAGAAAGGGATCATATCGCTAGGATGATCATAAGTCTCACAATTCAAGACAGACCTGGCGCTACGATCGCTTTGTGGAACGGAACCCAGATCACTGGTTTTTACAACCTGATTACAAGCGTTCAGCTGATCCTAGCACGGCTAAGGGCTACATCTCTTCATTTCAGGTACCATTTGGGACATTATAATATACATTTTGCTCAACGCCGCATTCAGCAATTTCCCAAGTGAATGACGACGGTCTGCATAAAAACAATCGATGCAATTTGGATACGATGACAACTCACGGAGCCTGACCACGTCTTACGTTAAGCAAGTGCTGCTGAAGACCAGTTCTTTTTATTTACAAGTGGATTTAATGTAAAGTTGACAGCGATCGTGATGTCCAACAATGGATTTTAAGAAAGCAGGATCCCAGGCATATTTCATGTACTCACAACAATCATTTTAAGAACATCCAGTTAATTAATGTTCACCTTGGGGCAGTAACTATTCACCATTTTTCACTAGATTTAATTTCCAAAACAACACCACTGTTTTCCTGAAGGACCAGGTCGACCCCCTAATACAGGCTGTGTTGACTAAACCGCCAGGCAAAACAAATTCTACCATAACTACGTGAAATACTCGAATTTGATTGGACAATCAAGAAAATTAGACACCATCAATCCTGGTTTGAAAATGCGTCTGATTTCATGACCGCTTCACTGCGCACGTATACGACACTGTCGCACTACTTCAGTTTGGCCACCAACGCGTTCGGCTTCAAATGAAATTTAGAGACTATCAATTTGATCTATCATTCATCTAATTTCCAAACACAGTACGTTTATCTCCTAAATATTCACCATGGTGAATTGTGGATGAAATGAACGAACAAGAAATAGGTATGCGTTTTGGACCTTTACTTCGCAGTGTGTCGGTGATTGTTTTCAGCTCAGTAATTTGTCGATAACATCTGCAATGTTTAGGTCAAATCCAGTTTTAAGTGAATATTTTCTTTCCTATAGTTTCATACAGTACGATGTCAGGAGAAAGTGTGTTATCGGCTTGCTAAAATGCCCTGGTCTGTTAAGGAGTAAAGGTTGGCACCCTCTGAAGCAGCGACAGGCAGTCGAGCATGTCAGAGCGTGTGTTCTAAGCCCGTTTTCATGCAGTGCATGGAAGCACCGTTGTACCTCTTTCGGTAAAACTAAAAGGAAAATAATTAAAAATCATGTGTGTTTAACGCATGTCAGCTTCATGTTACAGCAGACCCACTACGAACATGAGCATCGATCGGTAATTTGGACATAATGACAAGCATCAACCATGTCAGACACCTGACCACCCGTTCCCACTGGTCGCTTCTTAGTTCAACCGGATCTTCACGGGGTTAACAAGAATGTATCTCTTCAAGGAGACAATTGAAAGCGAAAATAAACGCTTAACGCAGATACTGGGTCTTAGGTATTCTTTGAAGCAACAGCACAGCAAACAGACATAATGTATGTGTCAAGATCTGGTTCTTTGTGTGTGTTTCGGCGGGAGAACGGGGTGCGTGATCAGGGAGTTAAAAAGCGCGACGGTTTGGGTGAGAGGGAGATACCCAGCGAATGTCGTGGTGAAAGCTTCAGACGTGTATTTCAGTGATGTTGGTGGTGGAAATGCGTGAGTGTATTTTTGTATTGCATTTTGAATATTATTTCTTTGGAAGTGTGTGAATTAATTGAATATTGAGTGTTTTGTATTGCACTTCGAATGGCATTTTGTGAAAAATGTGAGTTTACTATTTGAATAAGAAATGTAGTATTGGGTGATAATTTGACGGGTTGTGTTATACATTTGAATATTTGTGGGATAGTTGTACGGGTATTAAATTATATTAAGAGGTAAAAATAATAGTGTTATTGATGGTATAATGGGCAATTGAACTGGTCGTGTTGAAATGGCATAATATAAAACCCTAGGACATATTAGTAAATACAAGTGGTTTGTATTTAAGCATCCAGGATATGGTGTTACTGAGAGCCTGTCCATGAAGACCTATGGTTTGTCAACGATGGACTGTTGAACTTGATATTCTCTAAGAGGGTGATGTGCTGTGACCAGAGGGCAAGCGTGAAGATCACCAGGAGAAATTGCCAATGTTGGAGTAGTAGCCATTGTAGGCTGACGAGTCGGACAGTGGAACTACGGAGGACGGCTAACAACGCCAGTGACCTGGGATGGTGTATGTGAACTGTGGGTTCGTACAGACAGAGGTCAGGAATGGATGCCAAACACGGACACTGCTATTCTGTTGCCATATTAACCATCAATTACTTGTTATCTTGTTGCCATAGTAACATACAGTTGTATCACTATAGATTGTACCCGATATCAGTTATGATCGTATGACTGTGCCGATGTGGCGGTGTTGTGATTAGTGATGGAGGGACTGTGTGCAGGTTAAGTGTGCATCATGGTTTGAGTATACTAGGATGAAGAAGGCAAAGCTGGGGTAACTGCGCGTGAGTTACATGTGAGACACACGTGGTACTGCATATGTCAATGTTTTGTATAGAATGAATGTGTATGATAGCGTGTTTTGTCATGTATAGTTGGGGGATTGGGTTAATACATTTGTGTAACCAAATCTTTTTGTTCTGTTTGTGACAGTATGTCAAGACGTGTGCAGTGAAATTATCACTGAAAAATACTGACGCAATTTGTTTACATCGACAAGCTACTTAGGTGGGTATGAAGCTACATTTTCATGGGTAAAAATCCACGATGATTCATGATGTGTCTGTAAACCTACCTTTTTGCTGATTCAAGAGTTCTGCGGGACTCTCCATCCTCTCAGGGGAATCTAGACTACACCAATTCGACAATGCTTCTGACAAATCTTCAGGAAGGGTTCCGTCAATGTGCTCCCCTACTTCCGTGTTCGTTTTCCGTGATTTCGTGTTCCAATCAGGTTGTGTTTGGCTGATTTCCAATGCGGCAACCCTCTGTTCTAGTCCATCTAAATGGCTCCTCAGCTCATCCAGATGATGATGCAGTTGCCGTTGACTGTCTTGCTGGTGACTTCTCCAGGCTTCCTGTTGTTCATCTGAAGCCATGACATTCGCCAGTATTGAAGAGATTCTGTTCACAAGGGCATCCATCATGGCCGCTATACGTTTCTGGTTTTGTAGAATATGTTTAACCAGCTCAGTAATGTCACCGTACTGTGCCTTGTCCATTGTATGTCAGTGTTTGAATCCCTTCTCGTAAGATATCTGAAAGAAAAAGCCATGTACAACTTTCGTAAATGTATATTATTTGTCCTGAATCCAGGATATATTTCATATGAAACGCCTCATGCCTGACTGTGCTACGTTCCGAGATCTGTGTGAAGGAAAACGAAGCCTAAAGACTCCTAGGACAATGCACCGGGTTGGGTTAGTTCTAGTGTAGAAATGATTAAATAAGATACACGGTTATAGTTTCGACAATGTAGTTTCGACATTATAATTGTGCAGACAATCACACGTTGTTGACAATATTACTTTGCAGACAATCATAAAGTTCTGTGTGGCTGTTTCCTAATACACTGAAATTCTGGACCAAACAAACTGAAAAACCTTTGTATCAGCGCCCAAAGTACAGTCCGAAATTTAACGTGTGGGGTTGCATATCTGTGTTATGGGCAGCCCATCTGTGTATTTGAAGGGAATATGAACAGTGAGCAGTGCACAGATATTCTCGAGGGACATTTACTTCCATCTGCTCACGTGTTCTATGGATTTTTTGGATTTTCCAGCAGGACGACCCAAAACATCGTTCAAAGCATTCACAGGCCTGGTTTCGGACCCAAAATATGACATTATTAGATTGGCCAAGCTATAGCCCTGACCTAAATCCAATAGAAAATGTTTGGGGACTTATGAAGGAAAGTGTCAATAAGAGAAATCTGACAAATATTGCTGAAATGAAAGAAGGTGGTCCGATATTGGGACGGCATGGACCACGACTTTCTAACTTCTTTGATTTGACAAAATACTAACTGTTCACCTGTCTTTGAATCTGGAGTAATGTTCTGCTAATATTCACATTTAATACGTGAGTAATGATTGAAAAAAATTAAAAAGTTACAATCTTTAAATTCTCAATTTCTGGTTGTACTGTATTGAACTATTAAATGGTAACCATATAGAAGTTTACACAATGTTTCAGAGTAGACAATATCAAAAGTAAGTATTGCAGTGACAACATATCGTGCCATCAATGTTACTTAATTATTGTTTTATTTTGGTTTGTTTCTGTGGGAATGATTACGATAGCTGACACTGTAGATGTAGACGGTGCTGATATGCATTAATAAAGTAGGTGTATGCACCTGTGACACGTCGATCAATTTGTGCGTGCATGATTCAGTGTTGACGTAACAGCATAATGGCGTCGAATATTGACTCGTCACATGATCGCTCTAGTTCAAATAGCGACGAAACACTACATTGTACATGTAAATCTTTTATCTCAAAGGTACGTGTCGGGAAGTATTTTGACACCACAAAATCTGCTTAACCGTGTGACACTTTATCGAAATAAACTCTCTCTCTTGCTAAAGGTGCATGCATTAAAACGTAACACCCAATCGACTGAAAATGATATTGCCCTATTAAATCCTTTCAGGTTTACATGGGATCGTGAGGCAACCTTGTTTGTTTACTCGAAATATTCAAGCTACAGCGCTGCTCTATAAATAACCGTTTGACATTGTGAGCCGCTATCTGCGCAATTGCAATACGAATTCATGCATGAAGCAGATCACCTACCTGACCACCCGACCCCATTAGTAGCACCTTACAAACGGGCAACTAAAGACCAATTCTATACCTTTTCACAGTGGATGATGTTCATAAATCCACTGCCATGGACTTTGGCAACTACCTGAATATGTCAGTAGGCGTCGAACAAGCAGAATGTTCAGGGGCATGGCAACATATGCATACTATACAGGTATCACACCTACAGTTATACAATGACCGGTCAACATACCTTTGTCTGGTATACTAGCGTGGAGTAGGACGTCACCCAGATCAGTTCAAAGTCAATAAATCGCATGGAGCTGCGGTCTGGTATCACAACGTGTTGCCTTGACCGACATTACTCTATTGCACCCAACCGTGAAGTGAGTTAATAACCACGTATCATTTCTAACAATAAATATGCGTGCAGGCCTAGCTATATATAACTACCATGCCATATGTAGAAGACTTTGTGAACAAAGTGCATGATAATGTTGTGTAGGTTTGATAGTGTTCACTGGTGTTTATATTTAGGCAGTGTTATGAGTGCGTGAGTATGGTTTTACGCCGCAATTAGCAATATTCCAGCAATATCACGGCGGGGAGCACCAGAAATGGGATTCACAAATTGTATGCATGTAGGGTATCGAACCCGGGTCTTCGGCGTGACGAGCGAACGCTTTAACCATCAGACTACCCCACCGCCCACGGCGGTGTTATGAGAACAGTGCGCTGCATGTGCAAATTAGCAATGTTTTTCATGGGTTTTTTTATGAGGAATTATATCACCCGTATGAGTGTGGGTTGAGCCTGGAACAGAACGAGACTTTCATCTCGATTAAAAACGTTTCATGTTGTGACATTTAAATCGCCTTTTTACCTCACAAACATGCCACAACCCGTGGTTCACTATCGACAGCTGAACGGCTGAAGCGGTGTGGCAACAAGCACAGGTCGTTTGACAAATATGATATTAAGAAGGCCTCACGTAGTTCGTGTTGCAGGGTCGCACAGACGGCTGTTGCCCACATGCTGGATCTCAAAGATAACGCATTGTAATTCTGTGTATCTCTCTCTCTGTACATCTCTCTCTGTGTCTCTCTCTCTCTCTCTCTCTCTCTCTCTCTCTGCGTGTCTCTCTCTCTGTGTATCTCTCTCTCTCTCTCTTTCTGTGTCTCCTCTCTCTCTCATCTCTCTCTCTCTCTCTCTCTCTGTATCTCTCTCTGTATCTCTCTCTCTCTGTGCATCTCTCTCTCTGTATCTCTCTCTGTGTATCTCTCTCTGCATCTCTCTCTGCATCTCTCTGTATCTCTGTCTCTGTGTATCTCTCTGTGTATCTCTCTGTATCTCTCTCTGTATATCTCTCTCTCTGTGTATCTCTCTCTGTGTATCTCTCTCTGTGTATCTCTCTCTCTATCTCTCTCTGTGTATCTCTCTGTGTATCTCTCTCTGTGTATCTCTCTCTCTCTGTATCTCTCTCTCTGTGTATCTCTCTGTATCCTCTGTATCCTCTCTGTGTATCTCCTCTCTGTATCTCTCCTCCCGCATCTCTGTGCATCTCTCCTGTGTATCTCTCTGTGTATCCTCCTCCCTCTGTGTATCTCTCTCTGTGCATCTCCCCTGTGTATCTCTCTGTGTATCTCCTCTGTGTATCTCTCCCTCCTCTGTATCTCCCTCTGTGTATCTCCTGTGCTGTGCATCGCCGATCCCCAGATCCTCCTCCTCCAGACCTCCCTCCCCATCCCCTCCAGATCCCCCAGATCCCTCCAGACCCCCCCCAGATCCTCCCCAGACCCCCTGACCCTCCTCGATCCCTCCAGACCCCTCCCATCCTCCAGGATCCTCCTCCTGATCCCCACCCAGGACCCAGGATCCCTCCCATCCTCTCCTCCAGACCTCATCCTCTCCCCTGATCCCTCCCTCCCCTCCAGATCCCCCTCCCCCAGGCATCCTCCAGACATCCTCCCCAGATCCCTTCCCTCTCCAGATCCTCCAGGATCCTCCCCAGAGACCCTCCAGACCCCTCCCCAGATCCCCCAGATCCCCTCCAGGTGATCCCCTCCAGATCCTCCAGGATCCTCCCCAGATCCCCTCCCCTCCCCCAGATCCCCCCTCCCTGTGATCCCTCCAGGGGATCCTCTCCAGGATCCTCCCCCCAGACCCTCCCCAGGCATCCCCCCCAGGATCCCCCTCCATCCTCCAGCATCCTCCAGATCCCCTCCCTCCAGGATCCTCCAGATCCTCCCTCCCCCAGGATCCTCCAGGATCCCTCCTCCTCCCCAGATGACCCCACCCCAGGAATCCCCTCCCAGATCCCCAGATCCTCCCGGATCCCCAGTCCATCCCCAGATCCCTCCAGATCCTCCCTCCCAGATCCCCTCCACCAGATCCCCTGATCCTCCCAGATCCTCCAGACCCTCCTCCCCAGATCCTCCAGATCCTCTCCCCTCCCCAGATCCTCTCCAGGGGATCCCCTCCTCCTCCCCAGACCTCCAGGATCCTCCTCCAGATCCTCCATCCTCCCTCCAGATCTCTGCGGATCCTCTCCAGATCCTCCAGATCCTCCAGATCCTCCAGGATCCTCCATGATCCTCCCAGATCCTCCAGATCCTCTCCAGGATCCTCCCCAGATCCTCCCAGATCCTCCTCCAGATCCTCCTCCAGATCCTCCTCGGATCCTCCCAGATCCCGATCCCAGATCCTCCAGGATCCTCACCCTCCAGGATCCTCCCTCCTCCAGCATCCTCACAGATCCTCCAGATCCTCCTCCCGTGATCCTCCAGACCCTCCAGATCCTCCCTCCCAGATCCTCCAGGATCCCCAGATCCTCCCCAGATCCCCTGACCCTCCCCGATCCATCCAGATCCTCCCCCTCCAGATCCCCGATCCTCCCCAGATCCTCCTCCAGATCCAGACCTCTCCTCCAGGATCCCCAGATCCTCCAGATCCTCCAGATCCTCTCCAGATCCTCCGGATCCTCCAGATCCTCCCCTCAGACTCCGTCCGATCCTCTGATCCTCCAGATCCTCCTGACTCCTCTCGATCCTGAAATCCTGCCTTTATCCAGACCTTCTCTTGATCTCTTCTCTGATCTCTTCTGAATCACCTAACGTGATCAAAATTAAATTTTATGTCCTGACGGACGGGAACTTCAACGTTAATCCGACGGAACTCAACGTTTGATTGATGATTTCGACGGAACTCGACGTTTAACTTTAAGTTCCTAACTCTTTCTTGAAATTTGCTTCGGATGCATTCCCATCTCATTCCCATGAGATAGGACACATTCTGAAATTTTATATTTAAATACATGAATAATTTTATATGGAAGATATATTGTTTTAAATGATTCAAGTATTTGTTTAATCAATCACTTGAAAGGTTCATTTCACTGCTGTAACTTGCCATGTGAACATATGAACAGCATCAATACAAAATGTGACGAAAAATGTAAACAATTTATATTTTCAACTAAAGGAATGGAAGTTTTCTTAAACATTTTCAAAGAAAATCCTCAATTGCAAGTTGATTATTCAATTAGACAATGAATTAGGATGAATTAGACGATGCTTTACTGTCATATATTATTTGCTATGGTCATGATGAAAATGCTGCATTTGGTAATTAAATTACCAGAGATGATTGAATACAACCTTGTATTCTTAAAAGAAAACTTGCGGTTTTGCCCATCAACATTCATTCTTGACATCAAATTGTTTGACATTGTCCTGCAAAACAATGGAAGATTGTTGTTATTCTGTCAGATTTAGTTTTCTTTAGAGATTCTCGGAAACGATTATTTCAAATTAAATAGGAGTTGTACTGATGTAGCAATTTTGCTAACAGGAGTCATAAATTGTAACAAAAGCCATTTACATTAAAAGATAAGAAAACAAAATAGTTATGACCTATAATATCTGTGACGTCATAACTATGCTTCTCTGAACCATGAACAATAAAATAATGAGATTAAACTCTTCACTGCCAGAAATAATCTATCATACCCTGAATAATAAGACACTGAATAACATCTCTTACAACTCCAATCTACACTCAAAAAGACTTAAATGTACTCGTAAACAAACATCGCTGGCACACGCAAATTCTTGGAAACAGTGTATCTCTGACTCTCAATTCCAAGAAATGGAAGTCCTACTCTATTTGACCAAAGGGGTGACAGGTGGCCAAAACATATTGAAATGTGAAATGTTAGAAACTTGTTACCTTAGCATTGCTCCTTTTATGTGATCCACAAAATTGATGCCACCCAGTCTTCGAAGATGAGATTTCTGCAAATTCCATTAAAATTAAATCTTATTTCATAATTAAATGTTCCTTACTTAATTACTTCTTTTGTATGTAACATTTTAACCTTTAAGAGACATGAATCATCACATCCCTTCCAAACAAGTGTAAGAATGAAAGTCTGTGAGTGCAGTTTTGTTAATTGTCCCATCAAAGAATCATTAGTGAAGTTACACATTTTGTAAATAAATAAAAGTTCAAATAAATTATATGCAATTTCATCCTTAACAAAGACTTGCACAAGACATTTTGATGTGCATTTTCGTTGCATGATCTGAGAAAGATTTCCTTTCGCCATTCTCCACCCCCCACCCCCCAAATAATATGCATATGTTGACAGGGTTCAGAGCGTGCTCAATGCATAATTTACTGATAGACTTATTCAAACGAACAAATGTTCATAATAATGTGATGCAATATAAAATGTTGATAAATTCTATTTGATTTTGTATAGCTGCCCTTAGGGACCGTTCATAATGTATTGCTTGAGGGTGATGATGATTTTTATGAAGAAGCATGTACAATGTGAATTACCCTTTCCCTCCCCCCCTCCCCCCGTAAAGTGTATGTACGAAATAAGTGACGCCCCACCCTGCATGTCATGTACAATATCTATGACGCCCTCTCCCTTCCCATACTTTCTAAGCATCATATTAAACATAGTGCGTGTGTACAAAATGCTGACCCCTTAGCTCCCTGAACAAAATGGGTGACAACCCTCCCCCTTACAATCATCACCCCACCCGCAGCCATATAATTATGAATTGTCCCTTATATTGATGTACTTCATTGATTATTTGAAAATGTATATTTGCAAAATTCAAATCAGGTGATGGGTACGAAAGGAAATCTTATTCGATTATATAATAAAATGCCAAATATATGCATGCAAATATATCGAAAAATAACAAAACAAGTTCATGGAAAACACGGGCTTCCACTAAATTTTGAGAAACATGTACGTGACAAACCGGTACCCTTGTGAGATAAAACATGACCCCTAATTCGGAGTTTCTTGCTACATTGACCTGCTAGATTTAAACAACATTCCTACGTTTTCATTATACACTAGGACATACTTACCAAATAAACACCAGCATGCCGTGAAGATGTTGAAAATAGAACGATATTGCGTTGAACTTCGCCAAAGAAAACTGACAACGATCAGCTGCCTTTGCGCGCGCGATAATTGTGCGCATGTCCGGATATGGCCAAACGAGGCGATCTGGCATGTGTTTGAAAGCAAATTGTCGGGAATTATACAATTTTGACAGTTTTGTGGAAAAATATCAAATGTAATGCAATTCGGGTAACTGATGACTTTATACCTAAAATCATTGATGTTTTCATTTTCAATTGCGATTTACGTAATATTTCCGTCCGTTGATCGATGCACAATCAAACAATATATAAGATGATATGTGTCACTAGCTCGATCTTGATCTTTTATGAAATTAATGTTCCGAAATGATAGTTGCTAAGTTGGATACCTATTACCAATATGAATTATGTATCAAATTTGCCAAGGAAACAATTAGTTGACATTTTGTTGGTTCCTTACGTTGAAACAACGTTGACAACTAAACGAATCTCGACTAACTTTCTTTGGTCGCATGATAAACGTTGAATCAACGTTTATGAAAGGTTGATCAACCAAACAACCAAAATTCAACGTTGATTCAACGTTGATTCAACGTTGTGTGCCCGCTGGGCTCTCTCTGTGTATCTCTCTCTCTCTGTATCTCTCTCTCTCTCTGTATCTCTCTGTGTGTATCTCTCTCTCTGTGTATCTCTCTCTCTGTGTATCTCTCTCTCTCTGTATCTCTCTCTCTCTGTATCTCTCTCTCTCTCTATCTCTCTCTCTCTGTATCTCTCTCTCTGTGTATCTCTCTCTCTGTATCTCTCAATCTATCTTCTAAATACTTATTTTAAACTCATCATTGCCCATCAAAAATTTAAATTTTAAATTACTTATGAATGCCATTATATATGGAAGTTATCATCTATCTCAACCATGGTCTAGGTGGTTGTACCACCTGACTAACTTGGACACTTATCTGCGAGTCCATGATCCTAGGTGATTGTACCACCTGACTAACTTGGACACTTATCTGCGAGTCCATGACCCTCCTTACCCGCATGGTTTCACATTTACAGCATTTTCCCAAGACAAATGAATTTTATGAATAATTAAAATTTACCAGGCGTGGAAAGTCATCTTCCCACATTTGTATATTTCACAAATAAGATATATTATCACAAATAAGATATATTATCACAAATAAGATATATTATATAAAGAGACCATCGGAAAATAATCTGGATGTTTTATTTTTGTATTTTTAAGTGTTCATAAATGTGGGGTTTTTTTAAGTGTTAATAAATGTGGTATCGGGAATTGTCGTTCAGAATAAATTTTCCTGACAGGATCAACACTTTGCTGTTTTCTTTTGTTTTATTGTGTAGTCTATGTATTATCAATTATTTTCGATATCTTTAAAACACAGTTCTGATGACAGAAAGGTCAGTTATTGGCCTTGACCTTGGTATTGATTGAGTAATGAGTGAGTTTAGTTTTACACCGCACTCAACAATATTCCTGCTATGTGGCGGCGGTCTGTAAATAATCAAGTTTGGACCAGACAATCCAGTGATCAACAGCATGAGCATCGATCTGCGCAATTGGGAACCGCTGACATGTGTGAACAAAGGGCGAGCTTGACCACCCGATCTCGTTAGTCGCCTCTTGCGATAAGCATGGGTTACTGAAGGTTCATTCTAACCCGGACCTTCACGGGTACAGTGGTATTGTGCTGACTGAGATGAGAACTAACGACTCGTGCACAGTGAGCAAATACAAATGAGTCACATGCCTTACAAATGGGACATTGTCAGAATGTTGTCCTGACAGTACTGTCCTGTGACCTTTCCTTGAACAATAAGAGTTGGATTCGCTCGATCATAGTGATGGCAAGTATCACCAACAGTACTGTCCTGTGACCCTTTCTTGAACAATATGGAATGGGATTCGCTAAGTCGTAGTGATGGCACCTATCACCAACAGTACTGTCCTGTGACCCTTTCTTGAACAATATGGAATGGGATTCGCTAAGTCGTAGTGATGGCAAGTATCACCAACAGTACTGTCCTGTGATCCTTTCTTGAACAATAGGAATGGGATTCGCTCAGTCGCAGTGATACCAACTAGCACCAAAACCAAACCACCTCTAAATTAGGAATGACGGTCCCTGCAACGTTGTCAGACACGGCAACGCCAATTAAAAAAGTGCAAAGATAATCTGGAATCACCTGAAAACATGACAAGTGGCCAGCGAAGATTCACCCAGTTTCGACTTGTGTACACCAATGATATCTGTGCCGAACATGTTGATTTGAAAACTTCGGCACAACACGTGTCTGCCCAGGATCGAGATAAGCAGCATGTCGACGATTTCTAATAGCCCTGACCCGTAACCCGTACTCTGTTAACCTGAGAAAAGTAGGCCAGCAAACTGATTCGCTGTTTGAGTTCGATTTCTTAAAAGACTGCTTTCAGATCGATCAAACCTGTAGGCTGTACTCTTGTGGAAATGGTACGACTCAAAGGAGTTCGATCAATACCGAAGAGGAACTACTAAAAGCACCAATGAATGCCTGACATAACCTTTAAAGAAACAGAAACATTTTCATTAACACTTTGTTTTCTTCAGTTGGCACATTGATCTAAAGGAATTGGTTGGTGGATGTGTAGGTAAAAACTTCAGTGCATAACTGACATAACAATACCTACATAAGTGCAAAGTGAATGAAAAATGTTTCTCTTACGGATCAATAATATCATAAGAGCTTTAAGTGTCCCAATGCAGATACATGCATGTTTAATTGATTAATTACTGGTACATTCGTCAAAAGTGAGTGAGTGAGTTTAGTTTTATGCCGCTATATCCCAGCAATAGCACGTCGGAGAACACCAGAAATAGGTTTTACATGTTGTACCCATGTGGGGAATCGAACCCAGGTCTTCGTCGTGATGAGCGAACGCTACCATTAGGCTACAAACAAACAAATGGTGGAAGTGGAATGTTGTTCAAAGGGTATTGAATGTTGTTTGTTTAGGTAGAATACCCCATCGTTACAAATTCACAGAAAACAGTTGGTCCCGATAAGCACAGTGAAAGTTCGGTGTACAGATCACATTTAAAATATACAGAAAATTGTCTGGTTATAACCAGACGTAATTGATATAATAAAAATACTTCTTAACTACGTTCACATAACAAGAAGACATTAACAAATTGCCATTAAACAGTTTGGGATGAATAACACATTTCTTTGGTATATATCGCGTAAGGTGTCAATGTAGAAATGGTACTCTTCCTCAAAAACATTAGCTAATTACAGTTCAGGCAAATATTTCCATGCCATGTGTCACGCAACTCGCCTGACAGTGTTATATGTCATATGCATTCATTCTTAGCGGGAAATGAGCTTTAATAAATTGTTGTGTCAACCATCGCGTTGTGTATTTGCATTTTATCTGGATCACGGTAGTTGGCCCCGTGACACATGAAATAGTTTAACACCGTCCCGTGTCCATTTTGCCAGATTGTGCCAAATGGGAATCTGAGACGAATCTGTGCAAATATGTCGCTATGATAATGTCTTCCAAAGCAATTTAACAATTAGAAGTAATCTAAAAGAGAAACATATTTGTGTTTTATTTTGTGATGACGAGAAGTGCCACGTCTTTCAAAAGCACATTCAAGTGTCATAACAAATTTGAAATATACTTTCTAAGATCCTTTACATACTTAAAAGAAAGACGACATAATAGCCTTTTGTTTGGAGGCCCAGTAAATATTACCTTGACTTGCACTTTGAATCAATTATATATTGTGACACTTGAGGCTGTCTGTTATCTGGCATTGCCAATAAATCAAACCAGCTACAGCTGCTAATATCTAAAGGAGGAAGCGACCACATTTGCTTATGGCAACATAATTTCGTGTGGATTTCTTCTGCTAACTGATTAAAAAGCATGGAAAATAAATAGGAGCTGATTACACAACCTTGGCTAACACCATTGCTACATTGAACCAAGTCAAACAATAGTAAGGTGTTGCGAACAACATGATTCTTGTGTAATGTACTTATCACTTTATTCAATGTCCATCTGTTCAACACGTCCATTCCATTTCCAATTCTAATTCTTATTCATATTTAATTCCAGTTGCCTTTTACAGTAGATTAACTGAAAATAGTAGAACAAAATAAGTTTTAGAAAATGACAAAGCCATAAACATTGAGCAAATAGCTGTACTGCCACTTGCCAAACTCATTCAAGAGGCAAAATCACATGGCCTACAAAACATTGTTATATGCTCCTAAGCACATTTGAAATACAATAAAACATTAAAAGCATAAACCCTTCTACAAAAGCACTGGGAAAATGCTAACCAATGCCAAGAAAACATGTATTCAAATAATTTTGACCAACGTACAACTTGCCATTAAAATTACAAAATAAACCAAAATTCCTGGACATAAATTACCATGACTTACATGGAAAGATAGATGAAAAACTTACTTTCACAAATTACAATTCATGAAATATGAAAAATACAATAATTATGCTCACCACTACTTTTGACATTCTCGTGGTTGTTGTTGACAGTGCTACCACATGGCCTCAAGTGGCATGCCCTGGGGCAGTTAACTCTCTTTTTTAGGATTATTGAAAATGTGGCAAAGGTATTAAGAGTAACATTGCACTTGGTTAAATAAAAAAAACTAGACATTTAACAGAAATTGATTTTGAAAAATACAGTTTTAGGAAAATAAGTGTTTTGACAGTAACATAAGGATTACATACTATATTTTACTCGAGAACGGAAATATATAGGCTGCACACATTTCCACATTTTGGATGAAACACCCTGTCTCTATATTCCACAATTGTGTTCTATCTTACTAATAATGTTCTGGATAAAATCCATATAGTTGTCCTTGTTGCTCAAAATTCTTCTAAATAGCAAATTGCAGTATAAACATATTATCACTGGTTGTGTATTCACTGCGAAAGCCTGTCTGCAAGTCTTACTTTTTCGGTATGGACCTGACAAAGACGTTAGATGATTATTCAGAATTGGAAGATACATCGCGCTGAACATACAATAGTATTCCCTAAAATTATGATGAAAATTCCCATCCCATTTCTTAAGGAGTGGTAGAATAATGCCCTCTGCTCACTTATCTGGAAACTATCCTCAAATATTATGAAAGAGAAGCACAACAGAGGTATCGAAAGTTCAGATGCAGTTTTACAGAATTGGTTTGTTGCGTTTTATTGTGTATTTTACAAAATGCCGCTGACAGCAATAATTTCAGCCCTATCAAACGAAAAATGTGTCTAAAAGTCAACTTTGAAAAAAATATCATATTTTGAAAAGTCTCTCAAGCATCTAAATGGGCGATCTTTTTTAATTTATCTTCTCTTCACTAATCCGCTTGGAGCGCTGATCCGGACGGTCCAACCTTAAACTGACAGCGCATGTCTTATGCGCGATGAGAGCTGTTCTGATTACTAAACACTTAGAGACAGTTAACCAGTACAGCCTTCACCATCACCGTTAACGTTCACGCTGGTGCATATGGACAGTGTATCTTTTTCCTTGACCGATAATATATCAAGTGTTATGTCCTGAAATATTTGTTCCGTGATTTCATGATACACCGGGGATAGCCATGACTGCTTATATTGCATTAATGAATCGCAAAATGGCCATTCGAAGCTAGGCGATAGCGGTGGAATCAGCTGATCGTTTTCAGGTCATATTTTGTCATTTTGTTGACGTTTTGCAATCGGTAATTCAAATCTGGCACTAGATGTCTGGATATCACAGTTTTAAGCCTGCAGTGTATTTTTGCATGTGTACTCAAATCTATATCGTATTACGCGATAAGGCCACATTCATATAATTCAGTACGGTCGGAGCTGATATTGTGCGCGAAATGTGAAAACATTGTTGTCCAACATGTGAATTTCGTCGTGAATTTTATCTGATATTTTTGTATGATGGTGCGTGTGTACTTTAATATTACATTACACATGACTTGATTCAGTCATTGTACATAAGTATTA